TTTGAAAAATCAAAGTTGCTACTGCTTTCTAATAGAAGCGGCAACACCGCATTGTCGAAAATATTTTAGTTGGCTAGAGAATGTCCGAATATGCCCTCCATTGAATTTTCAAAGTGATCCGTTGTCTGGTTCACCAGAAACGTCTAATGTGCCATCCACCGTGAATCAGCCTGTATATGTAAAAACATTTGTGATACATTATATTTGTGATAACAAAACATATTTTGTATGTCCCAGTCTACCTATTTTCGAAAAGTGAGTTGAGCCTTTTGATATCCAGAATTTTGAAGAATCTTTCATAACATTTTCTGTTGATAGAGAATCGACACCAACTCTTAATTTCTGTCAGCAAGATATGATTTGAACCAATCAAGAGCATATAGTGAGAGAGCTGCAGTCAGCCTTGGAAACGTCAAGAAACACTGCAGCCACGTCTTTCTCATTTAGGATCACATAGACTTCTTTGATAAAATTGACAATGGAATCTGTGCTGTTTATTTTAAATAAAATATATGAATATCAAATTATAAAGTGTTCTGTCTATTAAAAAAGAATGCATAGACAGAATGATTGTGATAAATTGGATAGAATTGTTAATATCTTGCACTTTATCATGGTGTGTAGGCGTTTAACGGTCGGTATCTAACAAATTGTGTGATGCTTCTGGTTTATTAGCCGTAGTCTGCAGGTTTTTATATTTGACTTTGCTGGGATGCGCAAACTGAAGCAGGATAGATCACTTCGACTGTTGCCTCATCGCTTTTTGATAATGTCTGCCGCAGTACCAGACGGAACGACAGGTAAAAACCTGCAGACCACGGCTAAAGAATCTGGAAACATCGGACAACTTAAGAAAATAGCAAGTGAATGTTATACACTAATAGATTTTAGATAGATAGATATTCATTTTCTCCTTTTTGCCACTTTTACATGGATCAGGTAAGTGAGTAAAGTTCCACAAATGTAAAAGCTAAATATGCTGAATAAATAATCTATGGACATGGATTATGTACGTCAATTCAGGATATGAAAAATATAAACAAGTATGAATTACATACAATAATATGGATTATTTACAATTAAGAATCAGTGAAATACAAGTCATGCAATGACGTGACAACGTATGAATGACACTACACAAAATGAACATTTACTACACATTAGCAAACAAGTTCTATAAACACTTATTGCAAGCTCACGTTTTTCTGTTTCCTCTTTGTATATTTAGGTCATTGCTATTTTTTGCCAAATTTCTTAATTATTTTTTAATGCTTTTTAAAATCTTGTATATTATAGAGACAACCTTTGTTCAAAATATTTCTGTTCTTTTTTGAAATTATTGCAGAGGAATACTTTTTTTTTTGCGAGAAAGCAAGTTGGAACAAGAACATCCTCTGTAAATTCCAGTTTTGTTTTCATGAGATATATACTAATTAAGGTGAGGATATATGTATGTAGACCAGAGTGATTATAAGACAAAACATTACACAAATTATCTGTTTCGGAATCGTAAAAGATCTTTCAGTCTCTTCAGAGTTGAGTGCATCGATGCATGTACTGTGAACATTGGTATAAGATATGTGTTATTGTTTATGATAAATTTTGGTGTGGTATGTGTCTATGTCTTGAGGTGGGATTACTTCTATTGGAAGAGGATAACTGTAAAGTTGGGGAAGGAGTGTGTCTCAACTCTGTTATTGTCTATACTTATTTTAGGAACAACATCCTTGGCATTAAAAAAAACAAGGTTCTTTAAGGCCATTATCCATTCAATGCCTTTTTATCTCTCACATTTGGGACAAATTTTGGTCAAGAATTTGTATTCTTTTTCACTGTTTTTTGTGTGATCAAATTTGTTGACTTGAGAAGCACTGTATTACTGGTTGTATGCAAGGTATAACAGGCACAGATAGATAGCTTAATGTTACATATCGTATTGGCGCTCATGGCGTAAAAACGCTCACAGCCGCCAATTTTGCTCTTAGTGGCTGTGAGGAGCGTGTTATTAAGCAGCACAGGATTTTACAATTTGTGCTCACTTGCAAGTAGGTTTTTTACCATTGTTTTTACGTAGTAGCAGATAATATAAAAACCCAAATGAAATAACATTTGCATTCACATAAATCAACATATTTTAGTGGTCGTTTTGGCCCATAGAAATATTAGCTTTTTTCTCAGCAATAAAAAATATTTTTCATTCCAATGATGGGTATTGACGCTCATTGTCACCGGGACTTCACCAAAATGAGCGGAATTATCCCAAACTGAATTGAATGATTAGTAATTTAATGTATTACTTTTAGTATGCCTGGAACAAAAACTCGCACAACAGGCTTTGAAGTCTATGGAAAAGGTCATGTCAGCTATTAAAAATCATAAGTTGGGAGTTAAAGTAGCTTGTCATTATTACAATGTTCTATGTAGTTCGTTATGTGACAGATTACAATCCGGTGTTTGTAAGGCTGCACGAATGGGGTGGAAAACTACAATTTTTGAAAAAGTTAAGAAGGAATTGGTTTCTCATATTCTTAAGCTCTCCAAATTGTTCTCTGAAATAACAACACTTGGTCTTCACCGACCTGCCTTTTAGTTTCTAACTGAGAACAGCATTCCTTACAATTTTAACAAAGAGCTTAAAATGGTCAGAAAAGATTGGCTTTACGGATTTTCAAGAAAACATCTACCAGCATTTACCGTATAACAACTTTCAAAAAAGTTGAAGTGACACACTTTTTTGACCCAACAGAGAAATTGATGGAGATATATCATTTTCCACTCAAAGGGATTTTTACGAAACGAATGACAACCGCCCACAAACCACCCAAATTTGGCACAGAAAACAAGTTGGAGCTGCAACTAGTTGGGAACAAGGGAAAACTGTTACCGTATGTTGTATGAATGTAGCGGGTAGATATAATCCTCCAATGCTCATTTACTCGCGTGAACTTTTAACACCAGCATTAGGAAAAATGGAATACCTGGTTCAAAGTCGGGGTGGATCAACGAAGATCTGTTTCTGTGTTAGTTGAAGCATTTTATCAAACATACCGCATCAAGATGATCATGAAAGCCCCTCAAGTGCACCTGCTACCTATTCCACCTTACACATCACATCGCTCACAACCTCTAGATCTACCATTTTTTTTACCTTTGAAAAAAGCATATAATCGAGAGTGTGATATTTTCATGAAGACTCGCAATTATGAAAGAATTAGTCACTATGACATAGTGAATTTGTTTTGTGATGCTTATGAGTAGCTACAGTTGAAAAAGCAATCAATGACTTTCAATCTGCAGTGGTAGTGCCACTGAATCCATCTGTTTTTTCCGGTAGATCTCACTCCTGCAAAAAAGAATGCAATACAAAATGAAAGGCCCTATCTCCTGAAAACATAATGAATTCAGGAGAGATAATTCGAATTCCTCAACACAGAATCTTTTTCCCTCAAAGAAACATGCAGTCTGCAAACAATTCAGCTACATGAAACAACCTCCTCTGCAAACTAGTTTTCTTCTGATGATTTGCCTTTGATACAGTTAGCAAACAACATCTTTCTTTTTGTTTGAGGTAACATTTGAGACTATATTGTCTTTGCCAACAGCAGAAAAAAATAGAAAGAAGAAGCATGCTGAAATCTTGACTTCGACCTGATATAATTGGAAGAGCACTAGAAGAAACATCAAGACGAAAAAGCAAAAAATGAAGTTGTGAAAAATGTAAAGGGTGGAAGTAGTAAAACAAAGGCAGAATTATTAAGAGGTATGAATTTGTTGAAAAAATGAACCTGAAGTCAAAGAAACCAATATCCAGTTAACGATATCTGTTCAGAATGTGACGAGTTTGGAAAAGACAATGAATTATGGCTTCAGTGCAGTACCGACTAACAATCTGGGTCTGTAGGTTACTAATATGATGACAACTCAGTAGCACTTGTGCTGAGTTGAACTTCGCCTTTTGTTATGTCAGCAACTAGCCCTCTAATTTATTTAAATATTTGTATGTAACTACAGCTGGTAACAATAAAGACGATTATTATTATTATATCTATCGGTATTTGTAGTCGGCTGACACTTTTAATTTTTTTGAGCGACATTACCACCATTGGCGTGTAATGCTGCTCAGTGCATATTTAGTTTAAAAAAATAATTTCACCCATTATATTTTTTTGAAAAATTGATCAATCAGGATATTAGTTGATTCAATAAAGGTATTTTCAGCTCACTTATATTTTTATTTTTACCATTGTTATTGCAGATACTTTGATCTATATTTTTGTTAAGCGCTAAAACACAACTTTTCCCTACTCCTGCGGAAGTTACTAATCCGTTTATTTTCTTTTTGTCTCTCATATTCGGGTCAAATTTCATTCAAGAACTTGTTTCTTGCATTGTTTTTTGGGTGATTGAATTGTTGAAACAAGCACTGCATTACCGGTTGTATGTAAGGAATAAGGGTATAGCTCTTATTGTTACATATCCTGGATCTTATTCGACAGTATCGTCCTTCCACATTTTTCTATTCAGATGTTCAATGTCGAGAATTTTAAATAGCTTTGCGTTATTACCTAATTTTTGGGAACATATCTTACATTGTAACTTGTTTCCACCATGATTCAGTTCTGTATACAGAGATCATAATGATGAGTAGTTACATTCTTTGCTGCATAGTTACTCATGTCGAAATCTTCCAGAAGGAAGTCGGTAGTATCATTTAGTTTACTTTTAGATTTTTCTTTTGGAAAAAAATATTGAAATTCCGGAGAACTTATGGATTATTAGAGATTTTATCCATTTCCATCTGTCACTCATACTTTCTTCTATATCAATTTAACCTTTGGCAATGCAATAAGAAACGGAAAGCTAATTGAAATAAAATATCGTACCTATTCTCAAATAAAATAATCCATAATTGAAATAACGTACGTTTCGTACTGAAGTAACTTAATTCAAAAAACGTGATTTTTGGCAATGAATAAAATAGGCTAGAAAAATATATATTGTTGCAAGCGCGATGACCACTCCAACATGCTTCTCCGAATTACGCATTTAAAATGATAACGAATAGTGACAACTTGAACAAAATAAGATTAACGTACTACAATATAGTCGAGGAATTCTCTGTAAAACAAAATGGAAAAGGTAGCCAACTTGGGGGCTTTAATTTATTAGTTCTATATTTGAATAAAAAAAAAACGTTATGTAACACGTTTTTCGAACCCTCCTCCCGCCCCTGTAACGCTTCGTAACAGTTTACAAGACTCCACCTCCCCTAAAATTGCGTTACGTAATACTTGAATGACCCCTAACACAGTGTCAAAGCTACTTTCTGGGCTTATTGTCCGTGGGCTGCCGTTTCGTCTACACTGTAGTTGTAGGTGCGAAGTTTCAAATGACAAGAATTTCTTGATGAGGGGAAAAACTTAATTTTGTTTACATTTTTTTCAACATATATAATGAAATGGACTTTTCCTTTCAAGGTGTTGTGTATTATAAATTGAGCTAATTGAATTTTTTTACCAATTCAATTGTCTCGCCATATATTTCAATTTTCATCCATGAAATTGTACTACATTAATTTGTTTTTATTGATGTTGTTTGTTTGATACCGAGTAGATCACTTGTTGCCAGTCAAACTATCATCTGCAGAGAGATTTATGGACTCACTTTTGGATATAATTATTATCATTCGAATTTAAAGAATTCAGTATACTTTTCAGTGGAACACTTGTTGTTTAAACGAAATCTGTTCCCTGCACCTGTATAATGCTTTTATAATATATTCATCATTAACAAAGAGGGATTCTTATGAGGAACACAGAATTTAAGAAAAATTGCAATATCAGTAAGAAACCTTGTTTTTCCATCACATTTTGACATTCCACAAAATGGTACTTTACATATTATACCATTGAAATAATTCATCAGTTCTTTGATCACAATCAAAATCCCTTTTTTGTCCTTACCGGTAATACCGATTCTTTCGCATAGTTGAAGAAAGTGAGCAATCCATATTTCTTGTTTCTTTTTGAGAAATAACTTGACACTACATCAGCTTCTGAAAAGAAAGATTGACTGAAAATGTGATATCTGACAATCCAAAATATTACCTCTTCCATCTATACTCGTAGGTAGAACATTATCATTTGCAGATAATGACACAAAAAGGGCAAATGGTACCAACCATAAGAATAAGGTAAAATATGCCATCACCTAAAAACAAAAAAAATTATATGGTGTTCATCTGAGAGCAAATATTCTTTCCCTTTTTCAAACATTGGTTTTATAAATGATTACCTCTGAGAAAGGATGATACACAGATGTGAAGTGACTAAAAGCCAGGTAATGGTTGACTATAATAAAAACAACAGCTGCTAAGAATTCTAATGATAAGAAGGAAACAAAGGGAAAATTTCTCAGTATCACATAATGAGAAAGCTGTGCTAATATTCCACAAATTATAATAGGCAATGGAAAATTTTCACATATCCATAGTAGTATATACAACCCTAGTGTAACCTGAAAAAACAATAATCAAAACTGATCAATGTTTTAAATTATGAGATCTTACAGAGTTCATCCACCAAATCACTCTCTTTGCTATCCTTGTATATTCTTCTACTAATTCAGCCAAGTAGTACAGACCAGCAGCTAAAATATATATTAATGAATAAGATAAAGCCAGAGCCCTAAAACCAAAGAATTCATTATCCTACACCAGATAGGATATTTCGATCTGCCATAAATATCAGTGGTGCTGACTGAATCACAAATACATAGTTGAACTCCACTTTCTTAAACAACGTTTTTCAAAATAGAAAATTTGAAGTACGGACCCGTTTTTTTAGCAATTTTTTGAATGATAATGTTCATATGATATCGCAAAATTAAAGTTTATTCAATATTCCCGGTAGCTTTGGTAATTTGATTATCATCACTCAAATTATTACTTGTTTCATTACAGCCCCAATTATCACCCGAATGGAAGCAATTCTTTCTCTCTTCATTTTCGAAAATTCCACCAAGTATCTGAAATGTGTTGACAGCCCAAACCTCTCATATTACTAGGAACATTTTCCCAAGCTGTACTTCTTCCAAAAACCTCCATTTCAGCTCATGCGGTGTCAATCAGTAATGAAAAATATGAACTGATACTGACCTCAAATAAATTTATCTTTCTTTAATCAAAGAAGTTGGGACATGTTCTTGATAAGTATCTTATTTTGCTGATATCTATTATTTTGGGGAATTTTCAAAATGAAATTTCAAATTCTTCAGGAACTTCGTATAAGTGTCAAATTAGGAATGGTAAAGCATTTTACAAGATGAAAAACTTAAGCCCATTTTACTCAAACTCCAATTCATATCATTTCATATTTTTCGATGGCTGAAACTAGCCTTAGGTGAAATTTTGAATTTTTTTTGAGGACTACTCAAAATGAAAGATACCAGCAAAACAATATGTAAGTTTATCTTGGAAACTGGAAACTTATTGAAATTTTGATTATTGATTTCTGCAGAGTTTTAATAATAATTCTAATGTAGACATATCTACAAATCCAAATAAAGGCTTCTAGCAGGTCTAGAAAATTAGTTCAATAAACCTGTTGAAATATGCAATTTCTCTCAGGAACTTCATGTAAGCTTTGAATTAGAAAAGATGAATTCATGTACACATTGGGAACTGTACCAGCTCATTTTTTTAAACAATAACTCATATTTTTTATTACTGATTGATTCCCGAAACCTTATTTTCCTAAACATCTGGAAGTTACAGAAGGAATATTGTATATTAAATTGTCAATTTTCACATGTTTGTTACCAAGTGATATTGAAATATTTCACTAAAAGTGTTTAGTTTATGCAATTATTCATAATTATATAAATGGTCTTTATTTCACATACTCCTTCCACCCTACTCCACTTCATATTTCCCATTTACTACCTGAATGCAAGGTATAACAAATTTTAACTTGAATTTTATAAAAAAAAACATTTTTCTGTAAACTTATCAAGTTCACTGAAACCCAGTCTATTAGAGGATCAGTTGGTTGAGATACACACTTTTTTAAAATGAATACATTTTGCAAAAGAGTGGCTTGGCAGATACCCCAGGAAGGTTTAACAAATTTCAATTTGAATTCAAATAATGAATATGTTGCTGTGAACAAATCAAGTTCATTGAAAACCTGTCTTGTAGAGGTTCAATTGTTTATTTGAAGTACTGTCATGATGCTCACTTTTTATTTTCAATACTCACCCCCTTTGAGAGATAGATTTCCAGTAAAGTCTACTACAGACTTTGAACTAGCAGATTTGTCACAGACAGGGTAGGTATTATTGAATAGTTTAGTGATATTCTGTATTTCCCTGATATATTCCCATTTGGCTACGGAATGCCTCTTTTAGACAAAGATGAAATATTTTAGCATCACAGCAGTGCATTTTCAGAAATGATACCTCTAAAGAAGTACAGGATGAATTTCTTGTAGAGCCATACCATGGCATTAATAGTGTTGGCTGATAGGAAATAATAAACTTGAATATGTAAACAATTATTGATTACTTCAGAAAAAATATTCTATTTGTTAATTTTCAGACACTTATTTTAGATTTTTCTATATATCACATAATTTTGGAATCAAGTCGAAAGTCTAGTTTTGTTGTGGAACAGAAAAGTTATTAAGTGTTATTATTACCTATGGCAATAGTCACGAAAATGAGTTGTACCAAAATTGCTATATAACTTATTAAAGTTAAAAACCACATATTTTTGTCTTATTGCGCTTTTTGTACTCAAATCGAATTAAAAGTTACATTTTAGGTTATATTCGAATGTTTTGACTTTTAATTTTGACAACTGTCATTAGAAAGATGCATAGCAACCCTGAGGTGTTTTCTGGCGTTTAATCGTATTCCCACGTGTATTTATAAACGGTTTGTAGTGACGTCATTAATAATAAGATTCGCCAGAATGGAATGATTCAATTTGTGCCAGATATCAAATTCAATAATACAAACAAACTTTTCAATTTTCTGTAACCTCAATTAGAATCGGATTTGTGCATTAAAATAAACAAAAACAATGTATTACTGTCCGAAAATAATCCTCAAAAAATGTTAAAATAACACACAGTCTTATGGCAGCTACTAAAAGTGTCACCAGTATTACGTCACATTTGCTCGGCGCTTGTTTACCGTGGCGATATATGTAAGTAAGCAATCCTGTACGTCCATAATCGTTGTTCAAAACCAACCTCATGTTAGTTTTAAATCATCATGAATACGTTTCAAATCATAGTTGATGTGACGTCATCGTTTCAACGCTAGAATGAATGTATTTGAATCACAGACGAATAGGTTTTTAATACATGAGCAACAGAAAACTACTGAAAAATCAATTCATCGATAATTCGATAATGCATTTATAGCAAGGAAAAGTGTAAAAATATATTTTTACACTTTTCCTTGCTACAGTTGGGTATGGTTTTCATCTCATTGCCGTGTTAGGAATCGCAAGACCTCGTTAATTCTTAGCTGACACAAGTTTCGCCTTCTTAGGGTTATCGTTCGCATAGAAATACCATGGTGTCATCATTTAGACCACTCACTATTCAAATATTTTGACGAAAACTCTCAATCTAGGGCACTTTCAATTCTTCATAAAATAAAGGGATCCAACGTACTTCGATATTAAATTCACAGAGGCGCTAGGTGAACACCATAGTTTACGTTTGGAAACGATTCGTGTTCCATCTATTATCTTGATTATAAACCTGTTTAAAAGTTGAGATATTTTCACGTCGACAAAAAAAACGTTCATATTTTGTATACGTAATACGGATTAAATAATTTTTCCTCTATTTCCATAATTTATTATCGACCTTTTTTTAGAGAACATAAAATATTACATAGTGTATGACTGTACTAATACTGTACAATAAATTTCCATGGTCCGAAACAATGTTATAATCACAGGTCGCCTCTTGAGCGGTTGCTACGCAATATAATACAAACAAAATATTTCATCCTAGTTCCAAGTACACTTCTACTTTTCGAATAGAGAGATATGCAAAGATCCTTTTCTGTTATAGATGTTAGAATTTTACGAATTGTTACAAGAAAAAAATAATAATTTTGGTTTTCAGGACGATACCCTCTCACGAGAGGATGCTTTTAAGGACGATACCATCAAAAACACTTATAAAAATGATATTTCACCCAATTCGACGGATTCTGAGGAAGATGTCAACAGTCCAAAACGTTTCTACAAACCGAAAGTATCAAGTTCAAAGCAGGTTGGTAGAAATGTTCAATTATACAGTTCTTAACGTTTAGTGTTCATCGCGTACAGTTGAAAATCCACACATTTTGACTTCCAGTTTTCTATTTATCTGTAGGCTTCATTAGTTTATTTTCATAACTGAATAATTTTTTCATACTCTTTCTATTTATAAAGAGAAGTATGTTTCTATTTCACCCCTGATTTTGACCTTATTTCATTTTAAGAAAATTACGGTCCTACATTATATCCGATTTTCTGATTTTACTCTCTACGAGTATAAACAGGTTGAATTTTTATTTAATTTATCATAAAATAATTCCTAGAAAATCGAGTAGTTTTTTTCATTTCACGTAAAAATACAAAGAAAAATTATTGCAAATTTTCAGTTTGTATTACAATTTGTATATCTCACTTCAGTAGGATCACCACTATCAAATAAAACGAAACATACTTTTCATATCTTCTCTCAAATGCTATTCTTGACCAGCTTTATATAAGGTGACTCACTTGAAAGCGGACACCTCCCTTAAATTTGCAGTTTTCCTCTGATTCTGAAGAACTTTATTTTGAATAGTAGAGTTCAAAAAACTGTACTTTGGGACCAAATATCATTTTCTTTCCACAAAAACCAAGGCCTTCTGCGAATATTTTTATAGGTTGAAATACAAGAAATCGTATTTCATCAGTTCGGACTTCCATTGTCTAATATAATATAAATTGATTTGATAACCCTGCAAAATCACCCGAAAATCACCCGAAGACGATTGTGGATACTAACAATCGAAACGTTGTGACATAACTTGGTTTGAAATCTTTTAATTTTTATTTTTTTATTTTTTTTCAATTTTTGTTGATAATAATTTTAATTTTTCAATTTTTTCAGTTTTTATTATTATTTCAATTTTTATTTGTTTGGTTGTTGTTGTATGTTATTTCTTTGTAATTTCAGTTTTTTGTTTAATAACATTTTTATTTTCGGTTAATCAAACAAACAAAAAATCGTATTGCCTATTTTTCGAGGAAAAATTTTAAATCACTTTTAGACTGGGCCCCCTCTCAAATGGAGGTATACCAAATTTTATAAAAAAATTCAATATTAATAATTCTGTGGTCGAATCAACATTCACAATGTATCATGATAGAATGTTAACTGCACACTTTTGAATTGGTTTTTAAATCTTTGTGCTCTGCTGTGAAGTCGGTCATGCTTATTGCCTATATTGACAAATGTTCTTATTTCTCTTTTCAATCGTTCACTGGTATTTGTCCCACCATGGGCAATAGTGGTTTACTCCTTCCAATTCTGTATTTAAGTCTAAGACATCTGGAGAATGCTGTTCTAACTGCTGCTCGGCCATGAATCACCCAATATTTTTGTTGGAGTTCGTTCAGTACCAGTTCCATTCCTCTGTGAAGAAATTTCTCATGATAAAGCTGGATGAGCAATTTTGTGAAATCGTGCTTTGGACTCAATATAGCTGGTTGACTAATATCTCTTGACAACCATTTGGATACATTTGTTCGGCCAGAGAGAACCATAACTCCATCTTTTAATTGAGAACATAAACTGGCAAGCTTACTAATTCCACTCAAAGGTTTTCCATTCTTGAGGCAGCATATCTCTGAGATTAAACTCTCTTGTTGTGCATACTGTACCCAAATTTTCTCAGCATCAAATATCTATTCTTTTGTCAAATTGGATTCGAACCTTTTTTTGTTTTTGAGAATGTTAATAAATCTCAAGCACCAAGCCGTAGAACGAATCAATCGTATCCACTTGGAGAATCTTATTACAAGTGGTAAACAATTTTCATAGTTCGTAATTAACAGACATGTTCCAAACTTTTTTTTATAGACACCATATTGTTTACTTCAGATGAAAAGTGAATCAATTTCTCTAAATTGCCGTCTTTAATGAAAGGAGTATTTTGTTTTTTATAAATTATTGTGTCGGTTTTCCAAGCTGATTGGAGACATGAACATTACTTGCATTCTTGTCTGGAACATCTATAAAAGGTTGGAGATTTGTCTCTCTTTTATAGATACTTTCACAGAAGGTATTCAAGTTACTTGGCAAATTTGATTCCACCAAGAGCAGTACATTACAAAAATACCCGAGGGATAGCGGCTGCTCATCGTTTTGAGGTTCAACTCAGTACACCTCGAACTCAACTGTTTAGGAACTCTTTTATTTGGAGACATGCATTCATATGCGATACACTTCCTGAGAATGTTTTTCCAAAGGAATTTAATCTCCAGCGATTCAAATCCAACGTGAATTGCTACTTTCGCACAGGCACCGTTTTTGGAGCGACTTGTGGATTTTCCTGTAGTGCTTGTGTTTTGACCTTTAGAATATTTTTCTTCATAGTTTGGGCTTCTCTTCGCTAACTCTCATTCAGCTGAACCAATTTTTGTTGCTTGGAGTAGTTACTGAAGCTCCGATACATTCGGGAGGGCGCGCCAGCATTATCAATTAATGACCACTTCCCACACCGAGGGGTAAGTGATCATTGGGTCCGAGAACCATGTGCCCGGAGCAAGCGCAGTGATCCAAGAATGACAGCCTTCTGCATCTGTCCGGCTAGGATTTCTGCCTGAGTGCGGCAAGACGGTATGATTTCAAGATTCGAGAGTAGAGAGGGCATCATTCCACCAAGGATTCCAATAATCAGAACAACTATCTTGACAGAGTGATCTGGATAGAGTCTGCGGAGTTCTTTTCGGACGATATTCGTCTCGCTAGGAGCTGAAAACTCCATGACTAATATCGTCTTGCTCTGGTGCTCGAGGCATTAAGCTTCTTAGCTTGTATGAGCCTGAGGGTGGGGAAGAAATAGTTCCAATAAATTCGGCACTTACTGTTCCCCACAACGGATTCAATATCCCCCGGAGCGTAGGGCAACACCGGCGTCTCGTCAATACCGTAAGAGTGCCGTAGATGGTAATATAGCACTCTTAGGGCGGCTTCGATGGATATAGGCCGAGATCACATATGCTGGACATGATGATAGCAAGTGCATTAGGGCCTCGGGCACCTCGTGGCAGGCCCTGCACCTTGTGTCAGGAACCTCTATACCCATCACGCGACTGCGTGATGATAAACCCCTCAGTTTCCAACTTTAGCCCACTCAACCTGAGGAAAGCGAAAGTCAGGCGCTTTGATAAGCCAAAGTCTTCAATGTTATTAAAGAAGACCTTGTGTTTTCGTGAGTGATCTCTACGGCTTTTATATGAGCCTTTTGCTGTACGGATTCCAGCTCGGTGACAGAGTTGTGGCCACCTCGTTCAATGTCGAAAACTAAACCTAGTTCATCAGCTGCTCGGGCAGCTGTCCGAAAGAGAAAAGATCCAATTCCTGCTCTCTCGTGGTCACGGACCATGAAGAGAAGGGGATCCAAACTCCTGATGACTTTACAGGCTATATTCAGTACTATTCTGTCATGTAGACACTCTAAACTTAAAAGTCCACGGCCGCCTCCCTGCTGTCGGGGAAAGTACAATCGTGGAACGGACGATTTAGGATGCAAACTTCTCCCGAGTCCACTTCACTATTCCAAACGAGTAGAGTAAGATTGGAACGGCAAGCATATTTGTTGACTTATGATGCACTGTTTGGAACTTTTGGTGTAGGAATGAATATTACTGGAATTTTTTCCCAACACCACACCGTTATTTTAACACCTCGACACGTGTTTCGATCACCAAGTAATCATCTTCAAAGAGAAAGATTAAAACTGTTTAATCTTCCTCTTTAATTTTTAAAAGTGTTTAATCTTCCTCTTTAATTTTTAAAAGTTTTAATCTTCCTCTTTGAAGATGATCACTTGGTGATCGAAACACGTGTCGAGGTGTTGAAAATAACGATTTGGTGTTGGGGAAAAAACTCCAGTAATATTCATATTTGTTGAAGCAACTTTGTTCTTCCCCGACAGTTCCGATGACCAGATCTGTCGAAGTTTGTACTGATACTTGCCGCGGAGAGAGTTTTTCACTGCTGTTACCTGTTGTGAGTGGCGTTGTTCCACCCTGAGGTAAGTGTACATCTCTCCGGCGTCCAGATGGTGTCGAATGCTTCCATCTACGAGCTGCACATCCTCTCCGTAGTACCCGCATCGTCCTCTTTTGAGATGGACTATTGCACATTTGTCTATCCCGAATTTCATACCGATAGCATGCGTGTACTCTTCCACCACCCTCAAAAACTGATGGAGATCCTTCTTTCCAGAGGCATGAAGTTTAAGATCATCCACATAAAACAAATGGGTGACCTTGTGCCTCCGGTGTCCGGAGGTGCCACAGTTATAGCCTCGAGTATTTCTGAGCGCAACGGATAATGGCAATAGTGAAATGCAGAAGAGAAGGGGACTTGGGGAATCACCCTGAAATGCACCTCTTCTGAAAGTGACCCACCCTGTTTGGACTCTTGTTTGACAAGATAATATGGTGAAGCGAGTTCGCCAAAGTGGTATCAGTTGTTCAATGCATCTCACTATTTTGCGGGCACCGCAAGGCATCTAAGCAAGTGCAAGATGAATTCATGCGAAATTGTATCAAATGCCTTACGGTAATCGATCCAGGCCATAGAGAGGTTATATTGTATCGAGTTCTGCGTTACACATATATCGATGAGCAGGTTCTCTTTACATCCAGCGACTCCTCTCTTGGACCCTCTCTGCTCATATATCCGTTCGAACATTCGATCAACTGTGGTGAGTTTTGTGTGTATAAGATGCTTGTAAACAATTTATAAACACAAATTCAAGCATGTTATCGGTCTGTAATTCTTAGGAATCGACAAATCTCCGCTTTTGGGGATAAGAACGGTTCTCCCCTCGATAAACCAATCCGGAATCGGCTGCTCTCCGTCCAGCCATGAGTTGAAAACTTCGGCCAGATGGCGGTGGGTGCTTGGTAGTTTTTTCTACCAATAAGTGTTCAGCCCATCTGGGCCTGGAGCAGCAAAGTTCTTGGAACCCACAAGAGCTCTTCGAACGTCATCCGGGGTTATCGGGTTGCGCAGTTCATTGAGCTCAGGCTGTCGAAGCTCTCTGTTGAAAGCTTCGAAGTTCGCTAGGGCTGGAGTGTCTAAGTTAAGTGGCTGTGGGTGTTCATAGATATCCTTCCAGAAGGATTCCACCTGATCAGCGGTCGGCGGATTATCCACAACACGTGAAGGCTCTTGGAACAAGCAAGAATGTTTTTCGTGGAACCTAAGGTTTTCCGCGATACTTCTCGCTCGCCTCACTAGTGACTTCTTAGTAGCCACTAGCATTCGTATCCTATCAAGGCAGTGCTGTTTGGTGGTCAGCACGCCTTGACCTAAAGTGTGATGGATACGTCGTAGTTTGGCGGCACTGCGGGCGTGAAAGGCCTGTTGGCCGCCCTGTAATCAATCACGAGAATGTTTTTCCAAAGGAATTTAATCTCCAGCGATTCAAATCCAACGTGAATTGCTACTTTCGCACAGGCACCGTTTTTGGAGCGACTTGTGGATTTTCCTGTAGTGCTTGTGTTTTGTCCTTTAGAATATTTTTTTTTCATAGTTTGGGCTTCTCTTCGCTAACTCTCATTCAGCTGAACCAATTTTTGTTGCTTGGAGTAGTTACTGAATCTCCGATACATTCAGGAGGGCGCGCCAGCATTATCAACTAATGACAACTTCCCACACCGAGGGGTAAGTGATCATTGGGTCCGAGAACCATATGCCCGGAGCAAGCGCAGTGATCCAAGAATGACAGCCTCCTGCATCTGTGCGGCTAGGATTTCTGCCTGAGTGCGGCAAGACGGTATGATTTTAAGATTCGAGAGTAGAGAGGGCATCATTCCACCAATAATCAGAACAACTATCTTGACAGAGTGATCTGGATATAGTCTGCGGAGTTCTTTTCGGACGATATTCGTCTCGCTAGGAGCTGAAAACTCCATGACTAGTATCGACTTGCTCTGGTGCTCGAGGCATCAGGCTTATTAGCTTGTATGATCACTTGGTGATCGAAACACGTGTCGAGGTGGTAAAAATAACGATTTGGTGTTGGGGAGAAAACTCCAGTAATATTCATCTTTGGTGAAGCAACTTTGTTCTTCCCCGACAGTTCCGATGACCAGATCTGTCGAAGTTTGTGCTGATACTTGCCGCGGAGAGAGTTTTTCACTGCTATTACCTCTTGTGAGTGGCGTTGTTCCACTCCGAGGTAAGTGTACATCTCTCCGGCATCTAGACGGTGTAGAATGCTTCCATCTACGAGCTACACATCCTCTCCGTAGTACCCGCATCGTCCTCTTTTGAGATGGACCATTGCACATTTGTCTATTCCGAATTTCATACCGATAGCATGCGTGTACTCTTCCACCACCCTCAAAAACTGATGGAGATCCTTCTTTCCAGAGGCATAAAGTTTAAGATCATCCACATAAAACAAATGGGTGACCTTATGCCTCCGGTTTCCGGAGGTGCCGCAGTTATAGCCTCGAGTATTTCTGAGCGCAACGGATAATGGCAATAGTGAGATGCAGAAGAGAAGGGGACTTGGGGAATCACCCTGAAATGCACCTCTTCTGAAAGTGATCCACCCTGTTTGGACTCTTGTTTGACAAGATAATATGGTGAAGCGAGTTCGCCAAAGTGATATCAGTTGTTCAATGCATCTCACTATTTTGCGGGCACCACAAGGGATCTAAGCAAGTGCAAGATGAATTCATGCGAAATTGTATCAAATGCCTTACGGTAATCGATCCAGGCCATAGAGAGGTTACGCTTATATTGTATCGAGTTCTGCGTTACACATCTATCGATGAGCAGGTTCTCTTTACATCCAGCGACTCCTCTCTTGGACCCTCTCTGCTCATATATCCGTTCAAACACTCGATCAACTGTGGTGAGTATTTGTGTGTATACGATGCTTGTAAACAACTTATAAACACAAATTCAAGTATGTTATCGGTCTGTAATTCTTAGGAATCGACAAATCTCCGCTTTTGGGGATAAAAACGGTTCTCCCCTCGACAAACCAATCCGGAATCCGCTGCTCTCCGTCCAGCCATGAGTTGAAAACTTCGGCCAGATGGCGGTGGGTGATTGGTAGTGTTCAGCCCATCTGGGCCTGGAGCAGCAAAGTTCTTGGAACCCACAAGAGTTCTTCGAACCCTTGTGTTCATAGATATCCTTCCAGAAGGATTCCACCTGATCAGCGGTCGGCGGATTTTCCACAACACGTGAAGGCTCTTGGAACAAGCAAGAATGTTTTTCGCGGAACCTAAGGTTTTCCGCGATACTTCTCGCTCGCCTCACTAGTGACTTCTTAGTAGCCACTAGCATTCGTATCCTATCAAGGCAGTGCTGTTTGGTGGTCAGCAGCACGCCTTGACCTAAAGTGTGATGGATACGTCGTAGTTTGGCGGCACTGCGGGCGTGAAAGGCCTGTTGGCCGCCCTGTAATCAATCACACATTGGATACGACACGCGAGTTATCTCGCCGACGCGATCTTAGCCTCCATCTTATGTAAACGCCGTTCAATCTTCCGAATCGCAAGGCCGGGATTCCGTCCTTCTGATTCGGAAAGCGATTGGACGACGCTATACACGGCGGTGTTGATTTGCCAGATGTCAGCCACTTCTCTTAGAACACTATGAACCTCCGCATCCAAACAAGCCAGTTCTTGTGGCTTCAAGGGCTTAATTCTGTGGAGCGCCCTTCGTGTTCGGATTGAATCCATTGGTGTCATGATGCGAGTCTCCTCTCCAGCCGTGCCAACGGGTGGTAGAACTGTCACTTCTACCACTTCGTTAGCAGTCTGGGAAAGAGCTATATAGCCCTGCCGCCGAAGATAAGATACGTAATCCCTAAGGTTTTGGGCGGAAAAAGCGGCATGCTCCGATCTCTTAGCTCATGCGTCCACTCAAAGCGTCCGTTTTCATTGCCAGGGTTGTCATCGGTAGGCAAATCATCGTTATGGACCCCACCACCTTGCCTCTGAGCCCCCTCCCCCGAGCGGTTATTATTATTATTATATATTAGTCCAATCCTGTGTAATGAGGGTCAATAACACATTTCCTTTCGTGCTCAACTCCACCTTTATAAAAATTGAATTTACTTTATATTTCAGACACTTGAAGGTTTAGATGACCCAACCAACGACATAAAATCAATCGACAATGAGAAGATTACCAAATTACCCAGTGCTGGACCATCTGGTAGACCAACAGCGGTACCGAGACAAAAAACTAGAAATGAAATGAAGATACTGCATATTTCCAGCGATAGCGAAGACAGTGAAAATGAAGACAGAAAATTGGTTATACCAGGGGAGTATGATCCTAAATTGTACGAAAATTTGGAAGTTGACGAAGACGCTAAAGATATGTTTCAGTTTATTTTGAAGTGAGTAACTATTTTCTATAACATTTATTATCTCAGATGCCATTATCATGACTTATTACTGCTCCTGATAAGGGCAACTCGTCGTGTACATTCATTTTTCAGAATTAATTCACATTTCAGATACATTCCTCAACAACTTAACTTGGACTATAAGTTCAAACCGTTTATACCAGAATATTTACCCGCTGTCGGGGATATCGATGCTTTTCTTAAAGTTATTCCACCTGAGAAGACTTTAACCGGAGAAGAGTGTCATGAGAAGTTTTCCCATTTGGGTTTGACCGTTCTTGATGAACCAGCTACAAACCAAAGTGATCCAGCTCTGCTATACTTACAGTTGAGGGCTGCTTCAGTGAATCCAAGCAAAAGAAATGATGGAAATGTGGTACGTAAATATATTATTTTTAGAAAACTCTCAGTTTCAATTGAAAAAAATGAAATTGAAAAAATGTACTCCTGACAAAATGCTTTTTACTTATGATAAGTATCATTCGTGCGATATTCGTGAATGAATAAGTAAATAAATGAATTACAACTCAACACAGTACTTTTTAATAATTGCACTTAATTCACTGGCTTGTTCAAATAATTTTATTTTCCTGGGGTGAGCATTTACATGTATTGTCTAATTCTTTCAATACGCCGTCTTATCCTTCCGTCTGATTCTGATGACTTTTCTGAATCCAATGGAATCCAATGTTTCTTATATGAGATACTAGATCAAGGGTCGGCAACCTAAGGCACGTATGCCAGACTTGGCACGCCTGGCGGTTAAAAATGGCATGCATAACTTTGTGAAGAAGCAATAAAATAAAGATTTAATTTTAAGGATACTTATTGTGAATTCAAAATAATCTACGGGACTGTACACGGCAACGTATCTTGACTGAGCTAAGTGATGGCTGGCCAGGCTAGAACGACGCGACAGCGACGGGACAATTCTAAAAAAGAGAAGACGAGAGGAGTTGACGGTTATACGGAAATCTTCTAGAATACGGATTTACCGTTATATAGGCATGTATTCAGATAAGTTTCAAAATAAAAGTTTATTGGCAAAAGTTGTAGCGCGGAATATTGAGAGGCGAGTTACTGAAATGGTAGAAAATGTACGGAAATAACTAATCGACGCCATTTAACAGAATATCTTATTTAGTATGTCGTTGGATGAAAGTGTCGACGTTAATGACATTTCCCGGTTGGCAATCGTTGCGCGGTACTATGACAATAACCGTGTGTATGAAGAACTGATATGTCTGCTTCCATTGGAAGGAATGACAAGAGGCAAAGATATATTATCAGAATTCGTTAACCGTTTTCAGAAATAGGGAATAGATTCAACTAAGATTTTTTGCGTAACTACAGATGGAGCACCCGCTATGATCTGGACACATAAGGGATTTGTATCTTTTCTTGCTGCTCGCATTGGTCGACCACTTTTGAAATTTCAATGTATCATACATCAAGAAAGTTTGTGCGCGCAGATCTCCAGCGGAAGCTTAAACTTCGTGATGGATACCGTTGTTAAAGTTATCAACTACATTGCTGGTCGTTCTTCATTAACTCACAGACAATTTAAGTCATTTTCATAAGAAATGGAAAGTGCATATTCAGATATTCCATTACACAGCAATATATGTTGTCTTAGCGGTAAAGTGCTTTCTAGATTTGTGGAATGTTTGGGAGAAATTAGGTCATTTTTGCTGTATTTTCTGAACTAGATAATAAAGAATGGATTTGTAAGATAATGTTTCTATACCTGATATTACAAATCATCTCGGCGAACTAAAAAAGGATCGGGTCAAACTGTTCTAGATTTGTATGATTCTTGGAAGTCTTTCAAAATGAGAATAGTTGTATTTATTCGCGATATTATCTCCCATACATATAAATACTTTCAAAATCTAAAAACATACTTACCCAACCTTAATGATTGTGATAATGCTGCATTTAATGAGGAAATTTTAAAGTACATGACCTCATTGAAAGAAGCATTTGCTGAAATAGGTCAAGATTTTGATAAACATGGCCACATGTTCTCCTTCTTGATAAATGGATTTTACTAGCATTCCTTTTAATGATTATCTTTTCGCATGGATGGAAATTCAAGATTTTGAGCTTCAGCATATTGAATTTTAGGAACTCCGAGTAATAGAAGACAAAATTTGTGGAACTAAGAAGAGTTTTAGAAGGTCATCCTCAGGATAAATCAAACGAAATACTGAATTGTTGGGTCAGTTTTTAGGTAAATTTATTTGCCTCAAAAAATGGGCAGCTCTTTGTTAAAAGTTTACCGACCCCTGTTCTAGATCAACGTATCAGCAATGAACAAGCAACCTTCTGCTATAATATAAATGATAAGACTTATTTCCATCGAAAGGCATAAAAGAATCAGAAGTTTCTTTCCGTTATATATTTTGTTTGATGAATATGATAATAATAGAGTTCTAATTTTTATTTACCATCATACAATCAAAATAATAACAGAAATATAAAAGTTATTGGAAAAAAAATCAGAGATCGGAGACAAAACTGACTTCAGAATTGAATTTACGCATATCTTCGGAAACAAAAATTTTGTGAAAAATAATAGTCTGCAAAAAAGCTTTTTGGCTTTCACTTTTTCATTCATAATATTTATTACTTTATGTCACGGATAAAAAAAACTAGTTTATATCACGATGACAGTAAGTTAAGAAATTCATCTTTACATATATTAAATTCTATCCCAGCCATAGGAATCTTGGTAATATTGAAAGGGGTATACAAAATATTGTAGGAAACTTCCAAAAGAAGGAAGAAAGCAATTAAGTTCATAATGAACTCACAAAGATGTGTAGATCATATATAGAAGTTACTTTCGGATACAAACTGAAAAAAAAAGCTCTCTCGAAACAACTATTTTAAATGAACATTGAATTTTACGACGGAAAAATTCTTTTGAAACAACCACTTTCATATGAATATTGAATTATACAAAAATTACTATTCTTCAACTGTTGACCGATGGCATGGGTTATGTTGTCTTTGAGGACCGCTGTGGTTTGTGGTTTATTCGCATACAACTGCAACTTAAGAAAACCCCACATAACAAAGTCTAATGGGGTCAAGTGGCACGATCTTGGTGGCCAGTTCACATCACTTTAATGTGACAATGTGGCATGATCTGTGTGGTACGTAGCGCCGTCCTTTGAAACCCCATGTCGATGGTGTTCAGATCATCCAGTTCACGCTAAAAGGAGTTGGTAATCATTGACCTATAGTGCTCGCCGCTGACAGTGATGGCCTGGCCAACGTCGTTCTCAAAGAAATATGAACCGATGATGCTGCCAGCCCAAAATGCACACCGTACAGTGTTCGGGATGCGTTAAACGTTCTTTGATCTCATGCGGATTGTTATCGTCCCAAATTCGACAATTTTGTTTGTTCACGAACCCATTCAACCAGAAATGAGCCTCATCACTGAAGATGATTTTTCGATGAAAATTAAAGTCAATTGCCAACTGCTTAGAGCCCATTCATCGAACACACGTCGTTATCTATGGAATTTTACCTTCAGTTCCTGGGTCAGTTGATTTTTTGTACGGTTGCAGGCTCAAGTCAGGACGCAAAATTTGCCAAGTTGTGTTCTGTGAAACGCCGAGTTCTTGTGAGCATCGCGGAATCGACAGCCTCGGATTCTTTCTGCACAGTCTCATAGACAGCGGCGATGTTTTCGGCAGATCTTGCGTTTCGTCGACGAGTATTGATCCATCGTTTAGGAAACCAGTGGACTCAAAATTATCCACCACATTGCGAAGAGTCCTCTCGAGAGGACGATTATGCCGACCGGAACATTAGTGAAGCGCACCGTATGTTGCCAGAACAGAACACCCATTTTGCTTAAAAAATGTTATTATTTGCACGTGTTGTTAAAAGATCTATCCGTCCATGATGATTTCGCAAAACAGACTGAACAAATGACAACTAATTTGACAGATGTAGCTTCAACAAGATGGCCGGCGTCAATTGGCAAAGTTCGGAAGTCCTTGCTGGAAGACCCTATACAAGATGACGCTATTTTAGAGCGTCAACAATTTACAGGAATGAAAAAGTGTTGAAATTGTACTATATGCAATTAGTATTACCTATGAATCAGTAGAATTTGAAATATGAAGTCTACGACTTCATACCTTCAACCATAACAGTATCATTGAACGAAAGTAGTAACTTATCGGAGTGAATTGAAAAGTTTACACTTTCTACATCTCTATAGAGATGTAGAATTTTTATATTTTATATTTTATTTTGATCGTGGAAGGTTAAAATACTCCAGAAAAGTCAATAAAAAAAAGTAGTTATTCTTGAAAACTAAAAAGTTCTAGCTTTGATGCATTTTCGTAGTCCTTTATATGATCTATTTTTCTCTGCAAGGCCCCATATTATACTACTAATTCATTTTTATTTCAGGTAGTTAAAAAAGTTGATAATATCGAGAAAAATGCGAAAATAATTGATAAATGGATAAAGGATATATCGGATTTACATAAAAGTAAATCATCTCCTATAGTTCGATATTCTGAGTAAGTATTATTATTCTAACCTTCAGAATTTATCTGCATTTAATAATAAAAAATAAAATTTTATGAATGCTTCTACATTATCTACAAAAAAAACAAAACCGAAACTTTTTGTTGTTGCAAAGTTTTTTTGAATGTTTTTTTAATTAACACGCTTTTATTAGCTTCACCTGTATGTATGTCATAATATTAAAGCCATGAAGCTGTTGTATTTCACATACGTACGTACGTTCGAAGATAGAATATGCAAGTATCGTCTGGAGTCCATTCTATGAGATTCATAACATAGCCATTGAAAGAGTTCAAAGAAAGTTTTGTAAATTTCTAATTTTCTGAATAGATGGTTCTTACTTATCTTATTATCTTATCAGTAATGATGTCATATATGAACCTTTCGAATTTTTTAGTTTAGAGCATCGCAGAGATTGTGCGTCGGTCATATTTTTGTTCAAGTTAGTGAGTGAGAGAGTTGACTGTCCTAAAATTCTTGATCAAATTAACTTCAATGTACCACGGCCAGCTTCACGATCTCAATCTATTTTTAGACCTCTCAGAGCAAGAACTGACATTATGCTCAATTCCCCAATATATGTTATGTGCACAACACAAACCTTCTTAATATTATTAGAATTGCTAACGTGTACTTGAAGTAGGTAATTAGAATTAGTTTTTCTTTTTTGTTCATTTTATTTTTCGTTTATGGTGAAGTATTGTGAATAAAATTTTATGTTGTCCTGTAAATGGGTAACTGTTGGACAATAAAGCTATAATTATTATTATTATAATAGATGGCTATTCTTTGGCTTGGGGATGTGGATAACTGTCGCGTCCTTGAACGGGTACGGGAAGTGCTGCAGTCTGAGTATAGCATTTATGACATTTGTTATAGCTGCTATACCCTTTCGTGATAGGACTTTCAAAGCCCGGTTTGTTATTTGGTCTGGGTCTGGGGCTTTCCGAGTAGCTAGACGTCTTAAGATATCTTTCACTTCTTGTCTCCTTCTTTGTCCCTTCTTTGTCTCCTGAGTCTTACGTACTATCGTTTCCACCTGTGTCTCTATTTCTTCTACTTCGTCCATGAATGGGTCGTCGTTCTCTCTACACTGCCTTTCGAAATTTTCCGAACTAAAATGCTGAAATTTTTCTCCGGTTTTACATTATCATAGGGGGGCGTGGCTTCGTTTCTATTGATTGGAAAACCAGACCTATTTTGTGAACAATTGAGTACAGTGTACTTTCATTAACGTTTATTGACTCTTCTTTTCTATTGAAAGTATCTCTGTGTTTCTGAGTTTCTATACCGACCAACAGACACAGACAGGTACCTGAATAAAAATTCTAAGCACCAGCCAAAACAAAATTAAAATTAGATGATCTTTAGTACACTTTTCCTATTCCTTGTATTGAGTATTATTGAAAGAATATTTGTCCTGACGTCTTGATTCATTATTATTCTCTACAATATATTAAGTTTTTCCATGTTGAACCTAAAAAACCTCATATCCTTCCTAAATTTTCCATCTAAGATGAAGAGCTTGATTCCAATCCTTGGAGTTTTTTACTTAAACTGTATAACTTTTCTCTCAATCTATTCACCTTCTTATTTCTCATAGAATATAATTAGCGATTTATCTTCCGCATCTTTCTTGACTAATTGAATATTTATTCATCTGTAGAAAGCTGAATATTAGTAACACGATAACAAGGAGTTAGTCAAAAGGTTTTCTTGTGTTTCGAAATATAATCGAGACAGGATGCAAAAATGCCAAACTACATAGTAAAGGCTATTCGAAGTCAATTCGAATGGTATAAAAACTGAATGTAGTTATTGAACGTCGGCATTTCCTTTGTATGGCATGGGCGGCGTGGTACAATTTAAGAGGGCTAATCATTATTTTTATGTGGGAGGTTTCATATGGTATTAACTAGTAAATTTGTCAGATCCGTTTGTATTGACCTAGTATAGACTATAACTGTTGAGGAAGACAACACCTCATTCCTTCGGAAAAACGCGAAATTTCATGGCATCTGACATTCTGTTATCCTTATTATAAAAATATATCTCATACTGTTTTTTCATAGACCGATGCCTGATTTGGATGACCTGATGCAGGAATGGCCAGAAGAAGTCGAAAAAAGATTGAAACAAAACGGTTTTCCTGCTCCAAATGACATGTCTCTGTCAGAGTACGTGGATACAGTATGTTCTGTATTTCAAATACCCATCGCCAAGAAAAAGATTCAATCGCTACATCTTCTATTTTGTCTCTATGCAGCCATTAAACAAACGCAGCTCTATCAGTCTTCTTCAATGAATGAAAAATTGACCAATATTTCCTCTAAAAAGGAGGCGGACCAATTAGTTTTAGATTAAAATATCTTGCAACCACTTTCTGAATTTCACTTGACATCTCATACCTATATCTCTGGCTATATTCGTGAATTTGAATAACATATATATGAATAAATGAATATATTCGAAAATATACATAAATTATTTTTTTATTCTTTGTGAATTACAAACAATTCTGTAACGTCAATAAAAATATTTTTCATTCCTTATTGGGTTTCATTCGATAGGCGGTTATATAGGTGGTTATATAGAGGAACAAATTTAGTTTTGTAATTATCTACCTAGTCTAGTGATCACGTATTTAACTTAATGAAATCATCAAATTTATTCAACAATCATTGCTCATTATAGACCAGGGTTCAGCCTTCAAAAATGGTAAAAAGTGAAAAAAAATGGGATTAAATTAACGGAATGGCACACTGAAAATTGATTCATGTTATAATTGACTAAGCACCTTGGTTTTTTGGAAAAATTTCGAAATCAATTAGGCATTTCATATCAAAACATATTTTGTTTAAACGATCGGTACAGTTCAAACAGAAGTCCAACTAGGCTGCACCACGATGGCATTGTTCGACTCAACTGTCATTGAAGACCAAGCTTGAATTAGAAAAAGGAGCCTCGTTCATCACTGATTTTTGTGGATCGAGTTTGTCTCGATCCCACAGAGCGTCTTCCTGCAGATCGTCTTGATATATACAAATTACATATTTCATCAAATCTTTTGGAAGGAAAAAATGCATTTCAGTGTAGGAGAACATAAAAAAAATTATATTTCCCTTCCTCTTCAGTTGTACAAATAGTTTTACAATAATTGTGTATAATAGTTCGCAGAATGAGTTATCGATATTATAATTTGCAAATTCAGTTGAAAGTAAGAATTACGTTGATCAATACTTTTAGTTAACTGTGTTCCAGACTATAGATTAGATTAACATTCAGCTTATTTTGTGAATAAATCATGAACAAAGGTTTACAAATCACCATGCAGGGTAAATTTTGTTCGATTATAAATTATACATCCGCATCAGCCTTACAATTTGAAAAATGAAATAAATCTCCAAAGTATTGTAGATATTGTTCTCCAACATACCCATCGAAGCAAGCATATTGAATTCGTAATATTTAACAGAGAAATGTTGGTTAAGTTTCCAACAAAAAATGATCATGGTATCAATCGTATGTATAAAATATACTAATTATTACTCTTATTGGTTAATTGATTTCTAAGAACGATGATAACCTCGAACTGATTGATACTCATTGGGTGTTCTGAATTTATTGAAGATAGAATATCGGTTAGAAAAAAACGCGATAGTGTATTATTTGTAATATTGAAAAAAATATTTTTTATTCAAGATACAATGAACTAACATTAATGATTCAATCATTTTTCCGCATTCTTAAGTGCCCGTCATCGCACTTAAAAAATACGCAAATCAACTCGCACCAGTATTTTGCAAACTTTTCAACCTGTCTTACAAGAAAAGGGTTTTTCTTCTTGTTGGAAGATAGGAATAGGAATATTTTATATATACTTTGTCTTAGCATTTACTTTTATACATTTCTATATTCCAATATTTTGAATATTTATTTCATATATATTTTGTAATAATAGCATTTCCTCTAACTGGGTACTCCTGTTGGAAATAAATTGCTCTTTTTTTTCAATGACAATCACCTGATATGATGCCCTTAGTTTTTTGTGTGGGGATTCTAAAGTATACGTTCACAACCGTAGTCTATAAAAGGTGCTCCTAACAAAATTACCCGAAAACATTCCATAATGTAACTGAATTCGTAAACAAACTTAGTTTTCATTAGGAAGTGAATAGTGAAAATGTCAAACATTTATTGAGATGAACTAGATTGAGTTATGAATTCTTCTTTCTGTGAATTTTTTTTATTTTTCGTTCGGTTGACGAAACGAATATAAAACTGTTAACTACTTAGGACAGTGTTTCCAACAGTGTTGGAAAGAGAATTGAAATATCTATCAAACGAGGTATCTCAAAACCCCTTCCTATACAGAAAATTAAAATAAAGCGTAAAAAACCCTAGATAACACCTGGAATTAAGACGTCCTCAAGAAATCTACGGTCCCTTAGTTATATAAGAAAGTTCAGCTTAAATCCAGATTTCCATGCCTACTTTAATAACTACCGTAGAATTTACCGAACTATTCTCAAGCTTGTTAAATCTAGCTATTTCCAAAATAGAATTAACTCTGCGAATAATAAAATGAAGGAGACGTGGTCCATAGTAAATGACCTGAGAGAGAATCCTAAAAAAGGAACAGTGTTAAAATTTCAATCAGTGCAGACGAGATCAATGAGTTCTACTGTTCAATTGCTCGCAAGCTTGATAATAACATAATCGTCCCTTATGACCCTTTTATCAATGTTCATAACTGTCATACAGGAGATACTTTTACATTATACGATACTAATTTTGATGAAATTATCGAAGTGTTTAGGGATATTAGGAATAAAAATACATCTGGATACGATGACATCTCCATGAATATATTTCAGAATCTTCCAAGAATAGCGCTTGAAACTCTTGTCGCATTAATTAATCTTTCGTTTCGCAACGGTAAATTTCCTTTATTCTTGAAAAAGTCTGTGATAATTCCCTTGCACAAAGGCGGAAACTTAGATGATCCTTCTAACTATCGTCCAATATCACTTATACCGACCCTAGCAAAAATAATTGAAAAACTAGTGAAAAAAAGGCTCAATGAATTCCTTATTGCTCATAAAATCATCAAA